AATGGAAATGATTTTCGGACTCAGCTGAATTATGTGGTTATGGACTAGATATGGAGAGCTTTATTGTGGACGTGCCATTCGCTCTGGGCCCATAAATCCAGACTATCGAATTATAGTACAGGTCCCAGCGTCAATTCGTTTCCATTCCGAGTGGCGTATATCGATGGCAAGTCAAGTACTGTCATCTCCAACAGGCTTTCGGACAACAGTATCGAGCTAAGCTATCCCAAATCTATCGGTAATAAAATGCAATCACAATATTATTCATTTGAATATAGACCGGCAGTGTGTGATCACATACCGCAGTATCGGTGGATAATTTTATGCATACTACCGGCTTGTTCTTAGAAGTTTCTTTTTCCAATTTCAGTCCCTGTAGTCCTATTCGGTGGCTGTCCTGTCTTCACCTTACATTTCTCCGTCTAACTCAATGGTAACAGTATCCCCGATGTGGTGACCTGACATTGAATATTCTGATAAGTAAATTGCTCCCGCTCGGATTCTTGTGTAGTAATATATGCGAAAGTCACCTTGGAATCAATTTAATAGTAACAGCGCCTGTGTGGCATCAGCTTTAAACTTGGTCGATCGTTGGAAAGGTCGTGGGAGTCAAGCTGGGTGAGTTGGCAACATCAGCAGCTCTGGCACAACACTATTACTTTCCTGATCTGAAGGCTGCATTTCTTTCCTTCATGGCCGGAAACCGTGTTTGTGTCCCGCCGCCCTATTCAGATTGTTATCTCCAATACTACTTTTGGATGCGTACAGGTACAGAAGAAAGCCCTGACCTGCTCCACCGCTTCCAAAGGTATCAAACAAGCTGCCTTCTTTTCTTCAGCTATTTACTGATGCGTCGCTTGAAACCCACACTGGGGATGAATGCGTCCACTCGCAGGTTTTACTTACACTTACGATGTTGATATACTTAGATGAGAACCTTCCGAAATCATTTTATTCAGCCCATCTAATTCAGCTTGGCAATTTAGCCTGCACTTGGCAATTACGAATTACAACAAGAATACCAAGACCACAAGACCATGTGCTTACTGACGAGGTGATCGAGTGTGGAGGAGATAGGGAGAGCATAACCTACCTTTGCAGCCGCATGTATTCCAGTTGACTTGCAGTAAATGTAACAGCGTAGTTTCGGGAATATCGTTCCACCTTTTGCCACCCTATCACATGCGTTGCAGGTTTATCTGGTGTTGATAGAATGTGCATTTTGAACGTCTTTTATTTCACGCTAATTACATCATCAGAGGTCTTCTCTAAACAATGGGAGGCAGTGACGACACATGGGAAGGCCTGAAGGTGGACAGCTTTAGGTTTACGGTAATGTAGTGGTTGCACAAAGTCGCAGTATGGTAGAAAATATCGAGCACTTGCTGATCATATTTGTGGTTCGTTGACAACACCTTACATGCTGTGTTTGACAGTGGACGACCACATGTCTCTCGTATTACCGCCGTGGTTTAAAAATACTCTCAGTTGACAGGATGCAAACGGCCCTTTTTGTTAATATCCTGGATTACTAATTTATGGCTACATTCTAACATGCCTTGACATTTGAAAATGTCACAAGTCTGAAATCCTCAGTTCAGAATCATTAAAATGAATGCCACCGAAACCCAAAGGGACACCATCAGTGAAGTGTGGATATCCAAAGGCTATCTTTTTCAAGTTAAATATCATGAAACCAGAGTAAAGTGTTTGTGATTGAGGAGGGTGGTGGTCTCTTGTGAATGCTTGCTTGGGGGCGACTACCTTAGTTGTTTGGCCCCAAGCATTTTAACCAAATTAACTCATACCTGGTTTCTAATCACCGGTACCTCGGTGCACCCGTTCACAGTTGAAATTTTCCGGAATGTAGACTATGCTGTACCTTGACCATGGAACCTAGCAGTAATGCTGCTGGGTGGTGATTGATATTCTTCTTCAGGTAAGCTGAATAATTTCTTCCTTAAGTTTTCGTTTTCCATTCGGGATTCTTTCATAAACCCGTTATCCCCAGACGTCGAAATTTGTCATGTTTCAGTATACTGACTAGATTGCATGTTATACAGTGTGCCTGCTTATTATTCTCTTGTTGAAGATTACCTTGGATGCCATGAAGGACAGTATACCCGAAGTTGCCCTACAAGGAATTGAATTTTGGTCCACTGTCTGTGACGAAGAAATCGATCTCGCCATCGACGCTGCGGAGTGTTATGAGAAAGGTCAACCGCCAGCTGTATCCAGTATGTTCTACGCTAAAGGCGCGCTGCAGTTCATCACCCCAATATTGATGGAGATCCTCGCTCACCAGGTATTCGTTATTCAGTTCCTCGTTTACTTTTTCTACATAGGACGAGTCAATGGATGATGATGAATGGAACCCAAGTAAAGCCGCTGGTGTTTGCCTCATGCTTTTGGCACAATGTTGTGAAGATGCCATCGTCGATTTGGTGATTCCGTTTGTGAAAGAAAACATAAAGAAACCAGACTGGCGCTACCGAGATGCTGCTGTTATGAGCTTCGGCAGTATTTTGGAAGGCCCCAATCCTACTGCGTTAAAGGTGAGTGACTAGCGAATTTTTGACATTTTCACAATTAGCTTCCACATTTCGGCACAATTATCAAAGCCCCATTTCTTGTGTAAGATATTCATCTTCGTTATCTAACTTAGTTGCATTTTTTGATTGCTTGTACGTCACGTGCCGAGGTGCGCTGTGTGTGCAGGAAATTTACTTTCTAAGACTTGTTGGTGCCGGACGCATCCTGGAACGTCTGGCGCATCATACCTTAGTCATTTGGTCTTTGTTATTATCCTTTTTATTGCTAGCTAGGTTTTCGACACATACTGTTTGCCATGAGTGGTCTGTTCTTATTACTGTCTGTCATTCTAGCCCCTCGTGGAGTCCGCGATGCCAGTTATAATCGAACTTTTGCGGGATGAGTCAGCGGCTGTGCGTGACACGGCTGCATGGACAATCGGTCGTGTTTGTGAAACGCTTCCTGAGGTTGCCTTGCAAGATGTGTATCTAGTTCCCTTACTGAGTGGTTTGGTCGAGGGGCTTTCCTCCGAACCACGAGTTGCAGCCAATGTCTGTTGGGCCATTTCGAGTTTGGCGGAGAGTGCCTACGACGTGGCTTCTGGAGAAGTGGCAGGTGAGATAATTTTCACCTTAATGTGGTCGCACCTAATTGAGAACGTGCTTTTTTACGGTTTTCAAAATCGTTATGCTGCTTTTCCCCAGGGTGGCTGTTTTACGAGACACTGATCTTACTGGTTCAGAATACGACTGACATGAAACTCTAACCGGAAGTATGTGAGTGTGGGGGTAGTTTTGAACTCCCTGTAATGCACATGGGTTCCTATATGTCACGCTTCACGTCAGCACATCACATTCTCAAACGATACCAGGATGCCCACTTTCGTCATATGGTTCGAGAACAGTCGGATCGGAGTTGAATTTCATATACAAATTTTCTGCCATCTTTCAGTTCTGGTTTACGTTTATTAGGTTTCGAAAGTAGCTCAAGATGTTACTGTGAGATACATCATTCTGAAAAGCAGTATTGTTTCCCTGTCAGTGAATACACAATTTGTCGCTGTTGTGCATCCAAAATATGTGAACAAATCTTCTACCCAACGTTATCAAACCTGCATCCAGCTGTTGATATTCAAACAATATCAACCCCGAAACATGGAATTTTCATATCATACTTCTAAATGCAGTTGTCACCACTGGTGTGGCTACGTTAACGTGAAGTATTTTCTTCGGGAAATCATCACTGCAAGTGGCCTCTTTTAAAGTTAGGTTCTCTTGGATGGGCACATCACATCATTGTCTGTTAAACATGAAATGAATTGCTTAAGTCAGTATCACAAATTTGATAAATGTGACTTAGTTCCACAACCCCCTGACCATTTCGTGGTACTTTTGCGTGGATGAGTTCTAGGATTTTCGATGTTTCTTGGGTCAACTGCACTTTCATTGATTTTAGCTGCGTATGATAGAACTCTCTGCAGAATAAGACGGATCAGCAAGACTTAAGCTACTTATCCCGCAGCCGATTCGATGGTGCGCTTTGTGACGGCGTTAATTTGTTAAATTCTTGCAGTATCATTCTGCCTGTGCTCATCGCAATGTAGCTAAAACTCGGTTTGTAAACCTACCTATGCTTTCGATCATAAGGTGTACCAGATTTTATTTCGAATTATCGAGGGTGCCTACACTTCCTTGTTCGAAAGTATATTACGTCATCGTTTATTGCAACGAGATAGATTACGACCATTCGCATCTTGTTCTTTTCGGAAGTTTGTCATTTAGATTAGTGGTCAAATATCCTGAAAGACCGGCAGTGTACAACTTATTTCATAAGGATTTGGTCCAAGTGGTTAGAGTGCGGATTCACTGACCGGAAGGTCCGTGGTTCGAACCCGACATCTGTCTCTCATCTTCTCTTGTCTCGGCTTGGGCAACTTGGCAGTATCCCAGCCCTCGAAACCTTCGGCAAGCCCTTTTTCGGACCAATCTCTGTAGGTAGAGTACAAGAGAAACAGATGGCTACCGCGGTGTGAAGTGGAGGTGACTGAGAACTGCGAATTGCTATGTAATAAGTAACTCGAATATAAAATGCCTCATAGTTTGAACGTGTACAAGCTATGCTGTTAAGTCGTTCACACCTGAAACCCATGAATATGAGGAAGCCTTTTTGGTTGACCAGAGTGCATGTGAAGCACAGTTACATCACTAGAACTTTATATCTTGTGGAATTGAATGATGGGTTGTTTAATTGAGAAAGTGCAATTCGGACAATGTAGGTACCTTGTTTTTATATCGGTAGGGAATGAAAGCAACTGGAGGGCATTCACAATAACTGATGCTACGATGAAGGTGATTGTACGTCTGAAGTTCCACTCTTATTACGGATGCTTATGGCTTGGTGGTTCCAGACGGTACGGTGTCGGTCGATTTCTACATCAAGATAGCTAACGAGTAGAAATAATTCTGTTACAGTGTGGCTGCTCCCATGCTGGTCATGCCTATTCAAAAAGATGACTATTTCTTGAATACTTGTCTACCACACTACCTTGAACGTATACAAGCGTATGCTTGTTAGAAAACACGGGCATAATAGTGGATCTTGTATGGAGCTGAAAAAGCTCCTCAGTCGGAATTTCGGAAGGGTCAAAGAAGGCTGAAATGAAGAAAGTAGCCCTGAATGTGTGGCGAGATCTTTAAAGCAAACATCTGCATGGTTCAGTGAGAAGAATGGAGAGATATCGTCTCTTATTGGCGCACTATAGTCGACGCTAAATATCTCTCACCATTTATGAGTACATGTGCTGAAGTTTGAGTTTTGACGACTGGCTGTCCACGTTTTCTACAAACAGTATTCCTCTGTTTTACAACTGGCATAATCTTTTGGAGGGTTTCACACACAGAAAGGACTCCCAAGATCTTTACTACACATTCCAACATTGATAGATCATGCTGGCGGTTCCGGCGAGCCGAAAACGTACGCACTGTCCCAATATTTCAACGCAATTACGGAACGACTTCTCGCCACATCGAGTCGACCGGATGGTGGACAACACAATTTGCGAAATGCTGCTTATTCCGCTCTCATGGCACTAATGCGCTCCGCCGCTCAAGACTGCTACGGAGAGGTGCAACGCGTCACAGTAGTTGTTCTTGAACGGTTGGAATCAGTTATTGGACTTGAGAATCAGTTGGCCTCCACACAGGACAGAGCTCAGTTCAATGACTTGCAGTCACTGCTCTGTGGAACTTTGCAATCGGTCCTTCGTAAAATCAGCAAAGAAGATGCACCAGCTATTTCGGACAAGGTACTATTTAATTGTTTCTTGTTTATTTCCAAATGCCCGGGTATCCCAGTAGCCAATTCTGATTATGTCCTGTTCCATATTCAATGACTTTCGGGACAGGTGACAATTGCTTTCTCGTCAGATTAGCTTGTGCCCGAAACATATCTAGGAATCCGAGAGTTTCATTCCCTTGATCTTTTTCACCACCACGTAACTGTGGAGTGTAATGTATGCGGTGTACCAATATGCATTCTTCATTACAAACATCGTAAAGGATCTATGGGCCTCGTCCAACCCTCTGTTGTCATTCAGTAATGCGTTTTCCAGCATCCCCGATAATGTGGCCGATCCCCTTTTCACCAGTTAATGCACGGTTTCATTTTGTTGCTTGTTCTCCATGGTTGATCCATTTTCGCCACATTGGTACGCAAGGTATATTCTACCGCGTCTTAGTGTGCGACTGAACAAACAGGGGCGACCCGTAGAAGCAGGCAGAATTCACTTTAACTACTAGATCATGAACTTCTCGGACGAACCGTTCGACTTAAATCGACTAAGGTTTGACTGACCTAACTACACAGAATCTGGAGACAATGAATGCAAAGCATTGGATGTGTTGATATACTATGCTTTAGAGGCACAGAGAACCGACCCTACGTTGCAAAAAGCTAATTATGGGGATGTAGTGCTTGGTTATCGGACCCTTGACTTCAGGAGACCGTTGAGCGGACCGGTCTAGATTTCAAACTCCTATTTCTGCCACTCGTTTAGTTTTTCTACTCTTTGATCCGTGCTCATCAGATCTGCAGGACTCTTCGGGCTAAGCTGAACGCAATAGTATTCAGTGACTAGGACAAGAATAATAGTGGTTTTTTTTATCTCAGTCGTTCTTTTAACTAAATCAGAATTGGCTACCCAGTATAGAACTCCTTCCTAGCGTTTCGCTTAGTTCCCTGGTCCATTCCAAGTAAGGAGCTCTTTTCACAGAAGTGGACACAATGATTAGTGGTCGAAACGGTTAATGACCGCTTCATTTTGGAGAAAATTCTCGGATCTGGAGAAAGTAGATGCAGTTCATCTGGTTGTAACGTCGCTACCCGTTTTTTTAAATAAAATATGATAGGCCAGAATGACTCTAACGATATGAAGTTTTCATACAGTTCCGTATCAAACCGATTAGTTTCATACAACCAAAGTTGCAAACATGAGTCGCAAGGCATTCTCAGTGCATAACTATTTCGCCACCTGCGGCTTTTCTTCATAACATTATTGACGGCAATAGCCTTGCTTTTGTTTAGGGAATTTGTAAACTATTTGGCAAGCTCGTATCTAGAAGGCTATCCTTCACGTTGCCGAATTCGTAAACCTGAGAAAACGACCACATTTTTCGATGTTTTTCTTTGCCGTACAGCTTCTGGTCATCCGCATTATCATACACCAATCTTTAGTACCCTTGGTTTTGAATATCTGCTTCACCGTTTTGCTACTGCATCCATTTCAAGTTTGTGCTTTGTCAACACACTCACTAGAACGAACTAATGACGGTCTGCGATATCGTTTATATCAGCAGGATCACAGCTATCCATTGTATGCTGGTGCTACTGCCTCATGCACATGAGTGGTTGCTTTCTTCCTCTTCCTCCCTTTGTTGCCTATATGACGCCCGACCATGTTCATCTCATAGTTGCGCTGGTTTCATGGACTCCGCTGACGCAGCACTCGATTCGCTTCTAATTGAGCGTCAACAGTCGTACCACAGCCACCAGTGTCTTCTTAATGCTTTCACACCATTTGTGGCTTTTGTGTACGTCTTTTTCACCAACGCTGTCAGAAGACTCCACCGGAACGTTTTGCTGATGTGCTCCATCGTTCACTACTATTCGACTGAGTTGAAGACTCTCAAACCGATATGGTCCGATGATTAAATATGCATGCGGACGAATCGGTAAAGTGAGCGAATTCGCACGTTTATCAGGTGCTGGTGACAAAAATCAAACATACATGTGTGGCGACAATGGCATAGGTGCTTTCCTTATAGATCACGTGTTTTCTGTTACACAATAAGCCAGACTTAGATAACGGATGACATATATCGATGGTGTGACTGTATAAAGATGGGCGTATTAAAAATCCGTTTGCAAAAGCCCCTGTGAGGAGTGGTGGTATGACGTGAGTCTACTATGCACCGTAAACTGACTCTGCATTGCTCCGAAGGTATCGGTGACCGTGACCGCCATACTTCGCGAAATGCTAATGTTTTTCAACCATGTGGGTCACGTTTAAACGCCTAATAGTCAAACAGGGTTTCGCGGAGCTTACCGTCTCGCATACACCCACGCGTCCCACCGCCTTGTTCTGATTTCCGGTTGGTTTCCATCCTGTACTTCTCAATGTGGATCGTTGCTCCGTTGCTTTAGAATGTGTATTAGACCATCTGTTTCCCTGCAGCTCTTCTCTCTTTTCACCGCTTCATCTCACGACTTCAACGTACTTTGTATTTCCTTGTCTAGGTGATGGTAGCGCTCATGTCCATGTTCCGCTCCACAGCCATTTCTGTGGCTGAAGGTAGTGGTGATCAAGCATTGGTAAATGGAGAACGTAAAAAAACTCTCAATCAGGGAGTACATGAAGACGCTTTGCTGGCCGTTTCCGCCTTGCTCGAAGCTGTTGGAGAAGCATTTCTCAAGTATCTGGATGCTTTCATGCCTATCCTTGTCATGTGTTTGCAAAATTTCCGTGACACACAGGTCTGCGTAAATGCCGTTGGACTTCTGGGGGATATGTGTCGTGTGTTGAACAAACACATCGTGGGCCATTGTGAAGGTCTATTTGTCATATTGATGGATATTTTGCAGGTAAGACTGAAGCTATGCCCGCAGCCAGAAACACAAATACAACTTATATATTCAACATATATACACTGGGTGTGCTTGCTTTTTTTTGCTACGTTGTAAGGGAAGTTCGATGATTTCTTGCTCACGGTCATTCCACCGGTTGTCGCCACCACACGGCGACCCTATAAGAGTGATCCTAACCAGGGGAATTAAACTTTTCCCGGGAGTCAGTAACATGCGCAATGTTTCAGGCCGTTCCTCAGAATAAAAGCTATGTATCCCCTTTCCCGTGATGGCATTTTTGCGGGCATTGTAGCTGAAGCGACCGACCATCACTAACTTGCGTTGTTCATGCCTGAACTCGATTTACTTATTTCCTAGTAGTTCATCATACCTCAAGTCGGTTTATGGTCTTTTGGCAAAGTAAGTTTTCCAACCCATTTGCCACCAATGCTTCCATGCATTTGCAATTGATACGCACAGTTGAAGAACCCTTCTTTTTCGTTTCGACTCTCCCACTCCAGAATGTCAATGCAGATAAGTCCCTAAGGCCAGCTATCATTTCCACCTTCGGAGATTTGTCTCTTGCACTGGGCTCGGAATTTCTTACCTACCTTCCGTTAGTAATGGAGACGCTGAAGCAAGCCACTCAAGCCGAAGTCAATCTGGTAAGTTGAAGTAAACTGAAAGTCACTTAGGTTTGACTTACATCGTTTGAATACTTTCTTCATTTTGATTGTTGATTGGTGAGGGTTTATCCAATCTATACGTTTGACTTCAGCCGAAAATAATCTCCCTTGAATGAGCATTGTTTCATTTTTATCGATTGGTCAGTCCATATAACAGAATCTTCTTTAGATCCGCCCAGGGTTTCCAGATGAATCACCTATTCGCTATCAGTAGATGATGCTTGTTTTGTTTGTTCTTACCGATAACTTCATTCATATACATGTAAATTTTTTAGTGCTTTTTAGTTTTACCCATTTTATAAATTTCTGTGCCTGTAACTATTTTATTCAGATAATTGTGGTTAATTGTCACAGACTGACATCGTCTAATGACTCCTGTCATCTTGATAGGACAACATGTTGCACATATTCTTCGGTGAGAATACTCACACAGCGTATACAGGTAAAATGCTCACGTGAAGACTGTGTGATACTGGTGGTACCAGGTGTTGCAGAAGGCTGATATAAAATTCAAGCCGATGTTCACTTGATACTAACGATTGTTATCAGTTCCGATAGGGATTATGTTGACTAACATGAAGGCATACTCCCCTAACCGCGCGCACAACCCCCGCGTCTGTGTGAACAAGTGAGCCTAGGTCTATCCACATGAATACCAACCTTCTGGCACGGAATTGTATTTGCAGATACATATAAGTGTCACTATATTGCAGCTGTGTGCGGTTTCTTGTTTCATTCTGCGATATTCATGGAGGTTATCTGATCACTTCATTGAGACGCCACTGTCAAGCGAGTGAATTGGAGAGCTGTTACCTTCTACCTTTTGGCTTTTGACATGCACATTAGATCTACTTGACAACAGCTTATATGCTCACTTATCTCTCCTTTATTATTCGTTTTTCCTCTAAAAGACCGATCCGGATATGGTTGAATACTTGAATTCGCTACGCACCAGTTGTCTTGAAGCGTACACAGGCATTGTTCAAGGTCTGAAGGGAGACGGGCCCCGTAAGTTCTTTCCTCAGTGGTTTCCCTTGTCCTTCAAATCAAACCCAATTTACAAATTTCTTTGTTTGCTTACAGGAGCAACCGCAGCACTGGAATTTGTCGCCTCCCATGTACCTCATATTCTGTCTTTCATCGAACACATCAATGTGGACTCCATCACAACGGACGAATTGATTTCGGCATCCTGTGGTTTGATCGGGTACGTTTATTCTCTACTTTCAAGCGATTTATGCCGTCTTGTACTGATTCACTTTATGAGTGGCTTCCTATGGTGTCTTGATACTGTCATTTCTCATATCGTGTTGGCTTAGCGTTGCAAATAACGAATCTTGTTACAAATGAATCTGGTGATCACAGCTGATGGACCTTAAACCGTTCAATGAAGGCCGTAACTACAGAAGCTATAGATGCTCTCTTACAGGGTCGACAAACGCACTGCAGTTTAAAGTAGTCAGTAGGACATTTCAGCAAAGTTCGATCGATTTCTATGGGATGGCGACTCTTCAAATTGACTTCGTCGCATCTCAAAGGACGCCAATTTTCATTTGATTTTTGTTACCTAGTAATATTTAGTAACCATTGGGTGCTGTTGATTGGGTCGCGTTAAGAAGTAATGCATAATTTGCGAAACGCCAGTGGAACATTCAACCAAGCTTTGGAGGCGAAGGCATGTTCAGTTTGTTGGGAAATTGGGTAGCCACGCATTGAAGGCGATAGCTTTGATGGACGAGCGCCACCGACTGCGCGATTGGGTCATTTTCATCGGTGACATTAACCACTGGTGATTTGAGTCCCAGGGCCCCCATCCAGGGAGGCGGCGGTTGCCCACCCGACCAAGTTTACTGGTTAGTGTTTTCGTAATTTGTTGTCAGGTCATATGCTGCCCACCTCTCGGTCGCTTCCACTCAGCACAGGGCTGAGAAAAACGAGCTTTGTGAGGCAGACGGTCTTCTGGCATGCGGGGTACATGAGCCAACCAGCGCAACCTATGAAGCGTGAGTAATTCATCTACCGCGGGAGAGTTCCTTCTTCCTAAGACCATCTGACGTACACCAGCATTACTAATTCGATGTTCCCACCAGACCTGACCAATGCTGCGGGGACACCGATGATCAAACACTGACATCTTTCGTATGTTTTGCTGCGCGTGGAGGCCAGACGTCGGATCCACAAAGCAGTATGGATAGCAACGCCGTAGTGTAAACTGTTCATTTGACAGACAAGCTCACGTTATGTCGCGCCATAACTGTCGGAGATTGGCGAAAGCTGCCCTGGCGTTTCCGATTTGAGAAATAATCTCATCTCCAGCCAGTCCACCGGAACTGCCCAGGTAAACCAATTTAACTACCACGTCGATTGGCTCACCTACAAGCATGGGGTGTGGGTGTGATCCCACCCAGTCTTGTAGTAGTACTTTACACATTGTAGGTGTGAAGTGCATGCGAAACCGTACCGAAGTTGTTTAGGTTATTCAAAATTGTTCGCATTTGGGGAGGATCGGAACCAAGGTGAACAGTATCGTCTGCATACTCAGTGTTTGTGAGTGAAAGTCCCATGATCATTTCCTCTCCCGAGGCTTCAGAGGCCTGCGGAGAAGTTTCAAGCAGCGTATCAATAACAAGGTTGAAGGGGTAAGGGAAAATGGGGCAGCCTTGTCTCACACCACCGGATGTGGTGAACTCAGGTGAAAGCTTCCCGTATACTCGTACGCGCCCACAGGAGTTGGGATACAGTACCCTCATAAGGGAGGGGAATCTTGAAGGGACACCTTCCGTCGCCAGACACTGCCAAAGTTGCTGACGATACCCGAAGAGAGAAATGTGGCTTGGGCTCGTCCCAAATGGCTTGAAGAGCACGACCGAAGTAGGGTCTTAATGCGTGTTTCGGAGACACAACATACATCGGTAGAGGGAAAGTTCGGTTTCAGCATTGAGTGCGGACATTAAAGGCTGTAACGTGGATCAGATCTTTTGAGGTTAGTAGGTGATTATTTTGGTTTATTTTTCTGGGCGATGTTTGATACACGGGACAGTGACTAGGAAGTTGATTGCACTGCACTGTACGATGGGTTGGGAGGGAATGAGGGGGAAGGTCGGTGAGCGAAGAGCTGCAAGAGCACATGATGCTTCCCGGTTGGCCAGGCCAAAGACGGGGACTTAGTTGAGGTATGTCATCTTGAGCCTTTGACTCAAAAGTCTGATCCACGAGGCAGTGGGAGGATGTGGAGTTTTGTTCTAGGGCCATGGCCCTAGCCTCTGAATCAAAATTCTGGATCGCGAAACAGCGGCTGTTAGGATTTTCTTGAGGAACCAATGACTCAATATTCTGACCTACTTGGTTCTAGAGGGTCGGTTTTGCCACGAGGGCGCAGATAGTAGGGCATTACTGTCTCCTAAAGCGGTTGAGCACAGCATTTTCCTTTTGAGCAGCACCGGACTCTTTGGTTCTAAAAGTATTTCGACCGTATTGAATAATGAGCCGGTGGTCATGGTCAACCGTTGGGTGATCGGAGAGTGTGCGGTTTTCGGAGGCGACCTTTTCTAACCCATCCTTCCTCGGGGGAAGGCAGCATCGCTGCTCTCAAATATGGACGCGCTTCGAATCCGACCTCTATATCTCTACTTCTAGCTAGGCTTGGGCAACCTGGCAGTATCCCAGCCCTGGTGCTTCCTATGGGTGGCACGGTAGATGGGCGCCGAAAGGGCTTTACAGCCGAACGATTTCGGTTTTCGATTTATGGCGAGCTAAAGATAGCGTTGTGGTTGCAGGAAATCTGAGTGCACAGTTGCGCGGACTCCACTCATCCGACGCTCAGCTGGATGGTCGGTTTCTATTGCACTCGGTACGTGCGGGCGATGACGAACGACTGTTTCAGCTGTGCACTAACCACAGACTGTTTTGATGCATTCCTGTACTTCGGAGTAACAAATCGTCTAGCTACGTGGTGCCCTAAAACAGTGCGAGTTATGGACCAAAACTGATCACATCGCCCTCAGTTACGGATGAGTGCTACAGCGATTTTTTAGATTTTAAGAAACCTTTTGAGCAAAACTGTTTGCGCATGTTGATTTTCGGGTTGAAGGGAGCTTCTCATTTCATTTATCTTAAACGGATTCAGAAGTCAAAATGTCGGTTATGCAGCAGTTTCTTTCCATAGGTTATGTCTGAAAATAATTCTCGCATGACAAAACCGCGCTGTCCTTTTCGTACTTATCACCAATTGTGATGCATATTTTCCGTCCATTTTGTACTGTTTTGTGAGATCATTTTATCAATTACCCGTACTTTTGGTCGAATCACACTAGTCTAGGTTACTCATTTTTTTCTAGTTTATACAACACCACTACAAGAAAATCCAAACCAGTTATGATGGGAATAAATTTAGCTCTGTCATTCTCTTGCCATTCACTTTTCCATTTTTTATGTCCCCCTGTTTCAGAGATCTGGTTTCTGCATATGGCGCTAGCATCCTTTCCCTCGTTGACGTGGACTCCATAGCTAATGTGCTCCAAAGAGGCCGACGCGCCAAGTCATCACGGACCAAGAACTTGGCTGTTTGGGCGACCAAAGAGATACGTAAACTCAAGAATGTTGCGCACAATGTTGATTTAGCAGCAGTTTCCGGGTCCTCTGTAACACCGTCTGGCTGTTCAACTGCGCAGGCGTCTTAGCTAGGCATATATGGACCGAAGATCAGGTAAGTTAGATGCCACCTATTTTTCATATTGTTATTCCTTGTTCACTATCATAAATGTCCAGTTGCCAGCCTAAAGTATTCCTCGTTGGCTAGTTCAAACAGCGGAATGCTAAGAGCCTATGCTTGTGGATTTCGATTCCATTCTGTGCCATGGTTTAGCAACGAACTGACTTTCGAATGTCACACATGCTTTTTCAGTAATACTTCCAATTTGATCACATTGACGTGATAGCTTTCCGGGCATCACTGGCATAATCAACAGTCTGTTTTAAAGGACGTTCATTAGTCATAGTCGCTTATGTTAACCGATACTTTGGATAAATTTCGCGGTTCGAGATCATGTTCTTGCCAGTTTTGTCTTTAGATATCCCAGACGCTAAAAATGACCGCTTGAGCCACCTTGTTTAATGTATTATCTTTCCCGAAAAAGCTACACTCATGGTCATACCGCTAAGATTCCTTACTTAGTGAAATTCTCTCGCATCTTCCTTGGGACGCTCGATGTCTTGTTCTTGCCGGAGGCTCAATTCTTCACGTGTGCACGCCGGTTTCGCCTCTTGATATTGTGTTCCACAGTTTAAGTGCCGCCGGCGATTCTCTTGACACGTCAGTTTGGCGAGCCTTAATGAATGCTGTCTTGCTTTTTTGACTCACTAATTTTTGGTATCCATTTTAGCACAGTTTAAACAAGGTT